CGCCGCGTGGTGCCCCAGCCCGACACGGGCACAGCGCGCCCCAGCACGCCCGACCCACGGGCAGATCGACGCCCCCTCCAGGAAGACTGCTCCCCAGCCCTGCTCCTGCGTGACCCCGCCTGCTCCCTCTTCCCGCTCTCCCTTCCCTTTCAGAAGCTCCTGGAGCCGGGCCTGTTTGCTCAGCCGCCGCCCGCACAGAGGGTGCAAACTGGGGTCGCAGAGGGGGCGAGGGCGCCCGCAGTGGGCACGGCTCCCAGGGGAAGCCCAGGAGGACCCTGACGCCCCATCAGAAACCGAGGCCTGAGCGGGCGGGGCAGACGCTGTGCGGGAAGAGGCGGCCGCCGAGGGGGGCGGCCAGAGGCCCAGGCGCCCGGCCCCACGCTGCGGCTCTGAACGACCGGGGCTTCTGAAGAAGGGGGGCTTCTCTGGGCCTCGTGTCTGCGTCTGGGAGGGAGCGGGGTGCACAAGCAGCCCCTCCCCCACCGCCGGGATCTCCTCGAAGAAGCTTCTCCCAGGAGACTTGCTCTCAGGGAAGCTGCATGGAGCAGCACCCTGCATGTATTAAGTAGCAATTAATTCATCTTCTTAGAAATAGTGGCAAAGATATAAATCACCACTGACCGGGACTCTTCATCACCAGCACAAACCAGAGGGTAAATCCCGCCCAGAGCAAAGCAGCTCCAAGTTGTTGGCGAGGGCGGCTGGGCACGGGCGTGCGTGGATGTCTGCTCATCTATGTGAACTAAATGCAGGGACAAACCTCCCCCGGGCTGGGTTACGGGTCCTCTTTCTGCTCCAGCCACGGGGGGGGCTGTTGCATGCGCCCCAGGCGCTCCGGGGGGGCAGGGGACAGGACAGGGACTTGTGCCCCTGCCCCCACCCTCAGGGTCTCACTCCAGCTCCTGTCCTCCCCCCCTGACCCTCACCCCCAGGAAGCCAGAGAGGTGGCAGCTCACCCAGGACAGAGCTGGCAGCCCCTTCCCCAGACACCTCCTCGCGGGCCCCCTACCCAGGGCTCTGCTGCTGCCGCCACGGGGCCACAGCCAGGAGCCCACCGGCCAGCGTGCCAGGAGCCCTCCTGCAGCGCGTTCTCCCGGGGCCCCCGCCGAGCGGCCAGACGGGCCGGCATGAGCAGGCGTCAGAACCGCCCTGGGTCCCAGCTCCGGCATCTCTCCCTGTGACCCCGCGGCCCTGGCGGCTGGCTGGGGCTGTCCCCAGGGCGGGGGCCTTGGCTCCGTTTCAGGTGGAAAGGAAGACGCCGGAGGGCAAGGGACACGTGCCCGCGCCCCCTCCCACACGGGGCTCACGGGGCCGGGCTCCCCGGCGACCGCCGTTCAGCCCGGGCAGCGTCAGCCGGGTCTGCCCCCACCAGCAGCTGCCAGCCAGGCTGCCCAAGGGGATGAAGTCGTTTCTCTTAGTCCAGATGAGAATTCCATAAATACGTTTTCCTGTGGTCGAGCTGTCAATCATTCTGCGCTTCCCACCCCGAAGCCCTGACGCCCCAAACGGGCTCCCCCAGAGGCAGGCAGGCGGGGCCCAGGTCGGCAGCGCCAGGACAGAGCTCCCGGAC